AACTGTTATTTAGTCACTTATTCATAATTTATTTTATAATTATACTTCTCACATAAATGAAATAATATAAAATTTTTTGTTGTCTTATGAATGAAGTTTAGACCATATCAGTAACCCTTAAACTTTTGCTTTTACTTTGTCTTGATGGATGCGGTGTTCAACTGTCTATGTTTATCATAAAAGAGTCATGTGCATCATGAAAGACTAGTTAAATCGGGATAATATATAGATTTGTGTTTTACTTAATTTTAACAAGTTTAAACAACCATCAATTTCTGTTGCAGCATTTACTATCGGTTAATAATTTCTATTGTAACAAAATAGCGCATTGATCAAGAGTTTAAATACCTGTATACAAAAACAAGTTCAAAGGTTCTTTGGCAAGAAAAACTATAACTAATTCTATGAACCACACAAATTTAGTATTGAAGATAGAAGAACACATTTATTGTACTACATCTTTAAGGTGGTCTTTGGCAATTCACTGTGTTCATCAGTCATCCCATATGTAAAGGACATATTCAAGCTAAAATATGCCAATTTGGAAGGTAGACTATAGATTTATTAAATCATATGTAAAACTGAGCCTTATTTTCTTATGATGGTGTTGTGCAACAGAATTACTAACTGTTAATAAAACATAATAACAATTTCATTTTTAAAAGATCAGTTCTATTTGTTACTCAATGTTCTACAGATTTTGTGACTGCATTTAGTCACAAAATTAATTAATTTATAATTCAAATACGGATTATGTATGAAATAATATATTTACATGAACATCTAATGAACTTTTATACGGTGCCCAAGTCTTGGGAACCAAACATTATGAATATGGGGAGAAACGTTTTAGTATTATAAGTTATAAAAAAGATTTTATTCCTACCCACAAACGTTCTAATTTATATTTCCCACTTAGAAGTTAGATTACCATCACAGTTTGTGGACGCAGCACAAATATATTTCGCATATTTAAGAAAAATCCTTAATTTTCTCTTGCAAATGTTCTTCAAATATTAGCTAAACTTACGACTGACAAAGGCATATATTGGGAAAAGAGTATAAAGAAATATATGTGTCGAGAAGAATCTTTTCATAACCAGTATGTAATATATGTGATTCCTAAATAAATTCTTTGAGTCAATAAATAAATAAATAATAATAAGATAATATCAGAGATTGAATTGCTGTGACTATTTTCTAGCAAATATTTTTGATTACGAAAATAAAGTAAGTAAAATGCAAATCCAACAACAAAACGTACACAATACAAATGTGTGTGCACAAAGCACCGTTGAAATTTTCAAGCGTAGTCAAAAATAATTGCTAGAAAATAGTAACAGCAATTCAAACCCTGCAAAATACATAAAATAATATTCTAAAGCATAAATGTAAAACATTTTTAAGTAAAAAATTTTAAATTCCTTACATAAAAATAATTCTATTTTTAAACTTCCTCATTTCTTGAAGATAATAGATTTGACATATTATGATTGTCGCAATTAACTAACACATTTCGGAATTGTGTACTTGAGATTCCGAAGCAATTATCTTATCTTATTTTGATAATGACGTCTTTTTTCTTCATCTTTTTTTATAGCTTTACATCATTAAAATAAACTAAATCTAAATATAATATATGTAACGTCATTATTCAAAAAACTGTAATTTACAGCGTTTCATATATATAATAGGTCTGTTCCACGCGCTACTCATAGTAACTTTGAGTAAACACTGTGTATAAAATTGTAAATTTTACTTCTGTTTTACTCATGTTTTACTATGAGTTGCTCGTGGAACAGACCTAATATACATATGAATATTAGATAACCCAGCGGAACTTTCAGCGCTGATTATTCAAAGTAATATTTGAAAGGATCACTTCTCGAACCTACTAAATATTAGTAGTTGTAATGTGACTGATAGCGAAAATGATCCCGAATTTGCAGGCGTTGACGATGAAATTATCATCCCGTCTTCCGATCATAAGATCATAATGAAGTTAAAATAGCTATAATGCGGATTCAAAAACAACAAAGCTGCAGGCATCAATGACTTATCGGGTGAGCTGTTTAAAGCCGGTGGCGCAGTTCTATCAAAATGCCTACTACAGGTAATTCGCAAACTTTGGTCGAATGAATGCATGCCAAACGATTGAAATTTAAGTGTGCTTTGTTTGATTCACAAAAAAAGTTATCAGTCTTTTAACTTCACTTAATAGGTTTTGTAAAACGTACTATGTGAAAGACGCATTAGACCTTATCAGTGTGGCTTCAGACCTGCCAATGCCACCCTAGATCTAGTATTCACAGTGCGTTAAATTCTCAAGAAGACCCAAAGTAAGCAAATCGACACACAGAATCTATTTGTCGATTTCAAAGCCGATTCGACACTACGACTGGACTAGTACTTTATACTGTTATGTCTGAATTTGGTATGCCAGCAAAACTTGTATGGCTATGTAAAATGACGTTTAGCAACATCATCAGCTCTGTTAGATTTGGGAAGAATCTCTCCGAGTCGTATAATGAACGATAAATAAACGAAGTTTAAGTTAGGATGGCTTCATGTAGACCGGGAGGGTAGGGTTATGCAACTCTTTTAAAATAACGTTAGAAACGCTAATCCGAGCAGCAGATCTAAACCGCACTGGCCCAATATTCTACTACTTCTACTATTCTACTACTATTCTACTAGACAAATAAAGCCCTCTTTTGACAATCAAGAATCACGATCTACATGACTCTTATCATGGCTTATCATTAATATTTAAACTACTCAACTTTGTTGTGTGCTGAAATACTTAACGAAGAGATAAGTAAATTCACATCCATTGTAATTGGATCAAAGTAATTAAAGTATCTTAATCAAGTTCAAACATCATTTTTGCTTAGACCTGAAAATGATAAAAATGTAGATTAAACATTTTTAATTCTTATAAGTAATTGAATATTTAAATTCTTGAATAATTTTAATACACTTTGATTGAGCTTCACATCTATTTCTTTTTTATTTTGGATGATTTCTGCTCTTGTTCATCTTCGATTTAATTGCCTTATAATGGTAAAGTTAAGAAATCCGACATCTCTTCGCTTAGAACCACTTACTAAATACTACAAATAATTATAATAATAATAATTCACATAAGTCTTGAAATATGTTCAAAAACAATTTTCAAAATCAATTTTAAAAGCGGTCTTTAAAGTTGTTACCAGCTCATTAAGCTGGTACTAAAACCTTACTACTACATTGTTATGCTAACGGCAAAGTTTCTCACTAAAAAGATGTTAACTTGCTTTTCGATTGGTTTACAAGTATGAAAATAAAAAAAATGAAATGTTAAATTTAGTTTTTAAATGTATTGTGTCGTGTGTGGGTTCGAGTAAATTGGATAAAGTAAATTGAAATTTCCTAGGGATTTTTTGCACTGCACTTTCATATGTAAATATTTATATATTTATTTATTGCACTTATTTATTATTTTTGGTTAAAGTTTTCAAATTTATTTATTTATATATTTATTAATCATCTTATAAAATTTTCAAAATGGTAACGCCTAATTTACCTAATTTTTATTTAATTTACCTATATATAAAAAGTTTATAAGCCTATATAAAAGTTTTACTTGAATTTTAAGTGTCACATCTAATTAACCATTGTTGGAGTCTTTTAAGGTCCTCATGCTGATCTATCTGTTCGAAGACTTTGTACACAGAGATACTAATATGTGAGACTGATGATCACCTTATTTATTACTTGCTAGACAAAAATATTTTAATTGTATGATGTATGTACTTACGCAAAAACTACTTATGTTTAATACAATTTAATTTAAACTCAGTATCAAAAGATATTGTAAGTTTGAGCATATTTCTTTTTTGTATATTTTGATAAGGTTTTTGATCAGTCAAATATATATATCATACATATATTTATATATAAGGTCCTATATTTAACTAAGTTTAAATTCTTTATTTAATCTATTTTGATAATCTAAAATAATAATAATCTAAAAACGAATAAATAAAAAGCACTTTATTATAAAATCTTATTAAATTTTACTAATTGCAAATAATTCGATCTATCTTTGATACCGCCCTGTTTTTGCGCTGTCTGCTTCATTTAGAATCTCCGTCACCAATATAATATTATTAAGTTTATTTGTTATTAAGTAATCCAATTGTAAATTCTGTGTTAGGTGCTTTTAAGAAAAAAATATATTATTAAATTTGATGACTATTTCGATAAAAATTTTAATATAAGTCACCTACACAATAAATGAATAAATATTAAATGTAACTGTAAAAGGCACAGCACAATTTTGGTTAATTAAACAATTTAAGATAAAGATGATTGATAATGATTGAAATTCATGTTGAAGTTCTCATTCACTGACACGAAAAATTTGTTCTATATATGCAGCTCTATATATGTACTGCTTCTTATAGAGATACTAGCTTAAGCATATCTCATTGATCACGATATACATAATGTAAATAAACTATATAAAAATATGCTTATACATATTTTGTTTCATCTTTTACATATCTTTGAATTTTTTTTGGCATATGTATAATATTCAAGAAATCTTAATCTCTTCTATAAGTAAGTGATTGGTTGTGTAAAAATTAAAGTTAAGTAGAACAAAAAGCAATTTATTTGTTTCGTCTATTATAAAAAATTGGAATGATTAGCTTGAACAACCATTTTGAAATATGGTATTTCAATTTATTATAATAAGATACTGCCAGCTTAAATGTACTGTTAATAGGCTGATTAATTCATTGCGAAACTGTTTATGAATAAAAGTAAAAAGTATGAATAAAAGTATGAATAAAAGTGAACACAAGTGAAACTTGTAATTCATAAATGCTTTATCTAGTACATTCCATTGCTGCCACCTGCTTTGAGCTATGTTCAAACATTTTCTCTAATTCGAAAATTCGACTTCGACTTTGACTATGTTTTAATTTGGGCTTGGTGTCAATCGCGTTTGCTCAGTTCATTTGTCATCAGTGCTTTCATTGTGTTTTGTGCGTGTTTTTAATTTAATTTTTTTTGGTAATTTTAGTTTAAGTTCTATTTAGTTTTTAGTGTAAACAATGAACGCAAAGTAATACTTTTTAAGTATAGAAAAATAAGTGTAAAACAGGTGAGTCTCAAGATGTTGTGATATATATATTCTATAATAAACAAACGATGCGACAATTGTTTAATCAAATATCTTTAGTGACTTTTTATTGTTGTTTTTGTACTATGAAATGTTGTTGGACACATGGGCGTTGACCACAAAAGAAATTTCATTTAATAAAAGGAACCAATTTATTAACAATGTAATAATTGTGGTTAAAATAAAACATGATATAATATTGAATATTAAATATTATAATTCTAGACAATAAAAAATAATTCATTATTTTATGTATAAAGCATATGTGATACAAATAACATTGGTACGGGGTATGTAAGCAATGTTTATGTAGTCAGCAATATAAGCACCTGCCGCTATACCAATTTTAATGTTTTATTTGTGATGTTATGCTTTAATTGAAATTGCATTGTTGTTTATTTTTTTTTTTGTACTATATTAGATTTAAGCAAGTGTGCTGGTAATTACACTTTGGCCCGCTCAATTTCACTTGTTAATTAATTCACTTATGATTCACAGAGCGACAGTGGTGGCACTCGTCATAAGCTACACAAAATTAAGACACAGCAAACCAAATTCTTACAGAAGGGTGGATTAGCAGTGGCAACTTTTGTATGAAGAAAAATCAATTTAAAAAAATACGGCTTAAAAATGCTAATGAATTTTAAAGTGTGTGGTTTTTTCTGTTAATTTTTTAAGGTTTTGCTACTCTTAGCGAATTATTGCTTTTATGCACTTTTGCATTTGGCTGGTTCTTGCCTTTGGCTATTTCTGCTGCCAGAATATCCAGAATAGCCAGAAGTGTTGTCACAATTACATTTTTGCTTCAGTGCGCACAAAGCATACATATTGCAAGCGTTGACAATATACGTTTAGGTGCCTTTGCCCTAACGGTCAAGTGCATGCGTCATGCCATGTATGGCATATGGATAAAGATCATACCATATGTCAGTAGTGTTTATTATAAATATCTCTAATGCATGAGGACCCAACAATTGGCACATTGAACTGATAACTATCACTTTTCGATTTTATATGCCGGCTGAACTTTCACACTTTTTTTGAATAGTAAAAGTCATTTCTATGGCTTTAAATCTTCTAATATATTAGTAGAATGAAAGTTCTTTCCATAACCTGCTTGTTTTACATTGAACTTTGGCATCTACGCATTTCAACTTTTGTTTTTTAATTTAAAAAATAATTTATACTATTAATGAAAAGCCTATTGTGATAATGCACAACTCACTGATGCGGTACGGTACAATCAGTCTTCGTTGGGCATTTGTGATCATTTTGTGCAATTCCACTAAATCTTTAAACTTTTCTAATTTGTTAAGGAGAGCACAATAAAGAATTGTTATTTATATCGTCTTCTCTCCTACTGTAACGAAAAAATAAAAGTTGTGCCATGAGCTAAATTGTAACTGTTGCATTATAAAAGAGACACAAGCTTTACTCCCAGCACCCTGTATGCCATGCTTGGTTGCTTCTGAAATCTGAAAGTGGAAAAGGATTATAATAATACATATATTAGTCATACCTTATATTTTTTTATCATGTCATTAGCTCTTTTTGCTCCAATCGAAATTATTTTCCTCATAGAAACTGGGACCTTTGGTGTATTTTCCTCTAGAACTCAACTATCTAATCAGTTTAGATGCTCTTCACCCATGTATTAAACCCATGTATTCACATGGTATCTAGGATGTGGCGTGAAAAAGTGGTGAAACATGTTAGTTAGTGGGGAATATCAATATTGGAATTAGATATTCTAATATCTACATACAGTCGGAGTCATAAGTCTACAAGCAGGCCGTACAAAAAACTTTGTTTGAAAATATTTTCCAAAAAAATTAATTAATTGGAAACATGTTTTATTGTTTTTTTAAAACATTCAATGCACAATGTTTTCGCGAAGTTTCTTTACATTTGTTCAAAAAAACAACCGAGATAAAACAGCTAAAACTGTTTCTGAGAAGCGTTCTATGGACAGATGTAAGCTCTTTTGAGTATAACTTATCTAAAACTTTTGTAAGACTTTCAAAGGTGCAAAAGCAATAAGACGTCCCGTTTTTCAAAAAGTGAACCATGGTGGAAGCTCGGTCATATTCTAGGGATGTGTTGCATATAATGGGCTGGGTGACTTGGTTTCTATCGTCGGCACAATGAATCAAGATCAATATTTGACTACTCTAAACGATTATGCGTTTCTTTCCGGAGATAGGCTTATTGGAGAATCACTTATCCTGCAACAGGATAATGTCCCTGTTATTGAAGCCAAATGAGGTTATACATTTTCCTAAATTCTACTTATTTTTTTTTTTACTTTTGTTAAGTTTAAACTTTGTTATCTTAGTATTATATACTTGTCAAAATACTTATGCCAACATATGAAATTACTAATTAATTTATATCTTTTTTAGTTTCTATTAAAAAATATTTGCTTATTTTTAATTTTGTATTAGTTATAAATAAAAACAAAAAAACAAACAAGAATTCTTTATAAAGCCATTTTAAAGTTAAACTTAAAAATGCACGATTTCTTATTTAGTCAAAATACTTATGCCGACTGGTGTATGTGTGGCACCTTCTCTTGCTCTGAAATTATTTTTATTTATGGCGTCAGCAAGTTTAGGTAGTTTTTCGGTTCAAATAAAAACAAAGTTAATACGAGTAACGAAAAAACGGCATATACACATAGTAGAAAAAATCTACGGATATTCACAAAATTTTTTTTAAATTACGCATAACTTTTTAAATTTTTACTCAAATTCATTTATATTTCCTAATTTATTTTAACCAAAGAAACAACAATTAAGTTCCAATATAAAAAATTAACAGTTATACTTAAAAAAAAAAATTAAACACAATTATGTGCAAAAGTAGCAATTTTTGAAGCAGAAAAAGTCTACGGATATTTCTTAATATTTACATTAAAACAATAAAATTCACAAAAATCTTAAATTTAATAACCTGTGGGATAACCTCTGCATTTAACAACCTCTGTTAAGCGTCTTTGCATGGACTCAACTAGCTTTGCTGTATCCTGTGCGTTTATTACCCATTCTTCTTTGATGACGCTTCTTACTATATCCTTGCCGGAAAACATGTGCTGGCGAATATTATTTTCCAAATAAACCCAAAGATGTTCTATAGGACTAAGGTTTGGTGATTCTGGTAGTGTTTGAAGTTGCCTGAGAGCATAGTGCAGCATACAAATCCGTACGATGACTGCGGTATGCTTAGAGTCATTGCCCTGCTGAAACAAAAAGGTTGCCTCAAGTCCTAACATTCTGGCATTTTTTTTCAAATTTATTTTTAGAATATTTAGATAGCCATGTTTCTCCATTGTATCTTGTGCAAACTCAAGTCTGACAGCACTATTACATGCTATACACCCCTAAATCATTACGCCTTCACCACCACGTTTTACTGTTGAAATTGAGTTTTGTTTATCATAGGCTGTGCATAATTTTCTCCTTACAAGTTTTCTAACTTTGATTCAAAATATGTAAAATTAAGTCTCATCGGAGAAAATAACTCATATTCAGGACTTTATAGGTTTATTTATACGCTTTCTTGCAAAGCTTAATCATTTTATTCTATTATATCTGAATATGTATGGCTTCTTTCCTGCAATCAGGGTATAATACATGCATTTCTTCAAAATTTTCCGCACAGTATCAGGACATATTTTGTTTTCAAGTATTTCGGCAATATGTTCAGCTAGTTTGAAGGCTGTTACTCTTGGATTTACTTTCACCTGGTTGATTATGCTACGTCTTTCTCTATTTGACAGAATTGTGGGACGGTGAGTGAGAGGTTTAGAAACGTAAGTACTCGTCTCTTTGAAGTTATTTGTTATTCTATGCACAGTTGAATATTGACGACCAATATCTTCAGCAATTTTTGTTTGGCTTACGTCATCTTTCTAAAATTTAACAGCTATTTGTCGCTCACAAACTAATTTCACGTTTTTTATTTTATATTGTAAAAATTTATTGTTTATATAAAAAAATATTATTAAATGATTAATTTTTAGACTCTTAAGGAAGTCTAAGGAACTAATAATTAAATATCATTTAATGACACTTTTATGATTGCAAGCGAATTTAAATTAGCGGTAAATGTAAATATTAAGAAATATCCGTAGACTTTTTCTGCTTCAAAAATTGCTACTTTTGCATATAATTGTGTTTAATTTTTTTTTTAAAGAGTAACTGTTAATTTTTTATATTGGAACTTTATTGTTGTTTCTTTGGTTAAAATAAATTAGGAAATAAAAATGAATTTGAGTAAAAATTAAAAAAGTTATGCGTAATATAAGAAAAATTATGTGAATATCCGTAGACTTTTTCTATTATGTGTATATATACACATATCCAATAAAGTCTGCGTACACAACATAAACAAATATTTTAAATTAAAATTTTTACATATATGTATTCTTTGAAATCTTAAGTTTAAATAGCAAAAGACAAAAATTGTATTCGTTTGTTCATGCTTGAGATAATGGGATAAAAGTGTCCCTGCATGTAAATATATGACCCATAAAGTCTGCGCACAGTTATAAAAAAGCTAATAAAATCGATAGAAATATTAAAAATAAGGCTAAATTTAATACTTTGTTGGGTAGCCACGCTGTTTTAGAACTTAACTTAATCTGTTTGGCATGAAATTAACCAACTTCTGAGTTTCTTCAGCAGTAATTTTCGCCCATTCTGCTTGCATTGCAATCCACAAAGCCTCTTTACTTGTTATCACATGCTGACGAATTCTTTTTTCCAATAAATCCCAAAGATGCTCAATGGGATTGTGATTAGGTGATTGTGAAGGCGTTTTAAGCTGTCTTAGAACGTTGTACAAAGGCCAAAGTTGAACATTCTCCGCTGTGTGTTTTGAATCATTGTCCTATTGGAACCAAAATGTCGTGAATAAGCCCAAATTATCTGTATTTTGTTTCAAATTTCTTTTTATTTATTTTATACTGTTTAAATAGCCCC